TGCCATTTCAAGTCCTGTCAGCCCCATTTCCTGGCGAATGCCTGGGAAGGCAGCAGAAGATAGCCCAAGTGCTTGGACTGCTGCACCCATGTGGGAGACCTAAAAGATGCTCTTTGGTCCTGCCTCATGCCTGGCCCAGCCCTGTTCCTGGTGACCATTTGGGGAGTGAACCAGCACAGGGAAGGCTTCTCTCTCTCTCTTTGCCTCTGACTCTCCTTCTCCCGCTCCCTCTCTGTACCTCAGCCTTTCAAGTAAAAATAAAATAATATTACAAAAAAAAAAACCCCACTGGCTTCAAGTTTGGTACTCTTTGCTTCAGTCAATGAAACATGGCAGATATGATGGTGTGTGGCTATCAAAGTTAGGTGATGAAAGCTCATTCTGTCTGCTCTTCTGCTAGTGACCTTGATCTTAGAGTTTTTGCAAAATGTGAGAGATTGGGATACTCTGAGACCGGCTTTGAGGAATCTCAAGCCACATGGAGAAGCCACATGAAGAGGTTGTCTAACCTTAGTGCTCATCTGGCCAAAACATAAGACATAGGCGTAAAAGTGCCATCCTGACAGTAGATCCAGCAGTACCCAGGGTTGAAGTTTCCATTCCATAGATATGAGCCATCTCTATCTGTTATGAATTCCTGAGATAGAATACACAAGGGTGTTGAAGTGATTTCTCATGACAAAGTTTGGGGGTGATTTGTTACACAAAAACAAACTTGCAGAACTATGATGTGAAGACATCAGATAAAAATAGTAATCACCTTTGGAAAAAAAATTTTTGAGGCAAGTTTTTAAAAAATTCTTTTTGTCTGTTGAAGAAAGAATGTGTTATATGTGAATTTTATTCAGACATACTCTCCTTGCAAAATGGTATTCAAGCAGATTATTTGAATAGAGACTGTAGACTCTCATAAATTGCCAAAAAATATCATCCTGATGAACCTCTTGAGATTTCATGCTCAAAAAACCTTCCTTTTTGCTAGTTTTCTATGATGACCACCTGAAGGAACTGGTGATTTTAGACCAACTGTGGTCAACTAAGTCATGAAACTATAGGACAATAGCCTAGAGCTCAAGGACTGTTGATGATACTAGTTTTTTTTTTTTTTAATTTGTTTCCTCTCTTATTTTAAAAACTGATAGTGGGGATAACTAAAAATACCACCCAGGACCAGCTTCTCAGAGTCAGCTACCTATTGGAAGTCTGAATAGTTTCCTAGCTGAAACGGCATTGGAAACCTGGAGTTCTTCCTTCTGCACATCCTGGAGGGGAAGGAACGTGCCCAAGGCCTCTGGCCGGGACTGAAAGCTTCTGACCTCTGTCAGTGCAGTGAGGCTGAGTCAAAGGCAAGCTTCTGAGGGTGCTGAGCCAGGCCCTGAGACAGCTGAACTGGGTTGTGCTACTTGGAGTGTGTCTTTGTGTCCATTTCCAGAGGAAATCCACATTTTCAATTAGGTTCTTACAGAGATTTGTGATGCTGAAAAGTTTCAGTTCTATCACAGTGGACGATTTAGTTCTGTTACTTAAAAGCCATCAGAGGAAGTTACAGCTTGTCTCCACTCATACCCCTAGAAATACCAAAAGTTGCTGGATAGATTCATTTGTTGCATAATTAGTACAACTCTCCTATGGTCACTCACTGTACTCTCATTAGAAAACTTTGGCAAATAACCATACGTTAATATCACTTGTGTGATCCCAAATTACCAAACAACACAAGACTCATTTGGTGTAATTTTCCCTTGCAGCCAATGCAGTAAAGTAGGCATAGCTGGGGTCTTGGTCTATCTGACAGCTTAAAAATGGACTCCATTTTAGCCAATCAGAGGCCTTTCAAATGGTGTTTGCAGAGCTCAGGCTCCTTTATTGCCCATTAGAGATGTTTTCTTGGGACTTGGAGTCCTTCCCTTGTAGCCAACAGGTAGAAAAAGAGGGAAAGTTGATGGCTATAAGGATTTTTTGTTTTTGGTGGAAGTTGAGCATGTCCATTTTTATCTACATTTTACTGGTGGGTCTTCTTTCCAACAACTTTGCACCATGGAAGAAGAAGAGCACCGATTTTCACTGGATCCCTGCTCTTCTGCCACAATCAGAGCAAGCATTTTGTTTTAAAAGAATTTTAAGAATTTTTTTTTTTTGCTCAGAGATAGCTGCAGGACCTTGAGATGGTGCAGGTAGTATGGATACATACTACAGCACTTTAGTACTTATGGTGAATCTCAGAAACCATAAAGTTAATATTGAAAAATAGTTAGAATAAGAAAACTGTGGTTACTGGGTAACTGGGGATTTTGTTGTTGTTGTTGTTAAGGAGTGATACTTATGACAAGGGCCCACTGTGAATTTTGAAATGGTTTATATTGTAATAAGAGAATTTGTATAATTATAACAATGAGAAACTCTGTTTCCACTTTTGCAAAACTATTGCTACAAGTTTGGCTTTTTAATTGCACATTTGCTCTTAATAGTATTTCCTTATTTGGCAAAAATTACAACAGCACATGCTTCTACTCTGTGGCTTTTATTTTCACTGTCTTGCTTAGCTGATTCTTGATTATTTTTATTCTTTTATACACACCTAATCTCTCTCCTTAAAGCCTTTTATGCATTTATTCTAGATTGGGAATTAGCTGTAGTATGAAATTATTATAAGGTCTATGGCCAGATTTTTAAAGATGAATCTTGTATGCACTTAGCATCAGAACTCCCAGTCTGTGAAATGTATCTCTTCAGGTGGTTACTACAGAGAAACCCTCAGTGGGCATACTTTCCATTTCTTGGTCTATGAGATTTCATTGCTCCAGTGAACACCACTAATCCTCAAAGTAACATTGGAATCTAAGTTGACCCATCCAGACCTAACACACACACTTTTTCTGAGTTTGGAGTCCTGGTAAGACTTCGTGTGGTGGAGAACTGGCATTAGATTATACCAACCCGTGAAACTGGGGCATATTGGAAACTTATTCTAAGAATCAGTGTTACACATTAGCTATGCATGGTCACAATTAAGTCCATAAAAAACTGATGTCTTAAATTTTGAATGACATTTCAGTGTTATCTAGGATCTTTATGTTATTAGATCCATTGAATACTTGAAACAGGGTGCCGCTGCTCCTGTCTTCCAGCTGTGCATTCAGTGACATCTCATAGGTGGTTTAGGGTTGATCATGGCGGGTGCTGACCACTACAGGTCACCAGCAGCCCGTTGGGCTCACCATAGAGGTTGTGCTGAGGTTCAAAGGAAACAGATGTTGCCAGGGCTGTCACAGCTGCTTGCAAAAGTACCATTGTTTGCCTTCAGGGTTCCAGTGTTGGCAGTTCATGGCTGTCAGGGGCTTTCACGGGACTATAGTATCTCTTTCTATTGCTCTGCTCCTAAAATCACATCAGTAATGCTTGGCTGCATCCCTTCTGACATGTGTGAGAGGGAGAAGATGTCCTAACTGATGGGAGAATATTTTAAATACTGCCGAACCACAGATCTCAAGTTGTAGGTGGAGAAGTAGGTTTACATAGGATTATAGATTTGTTCCACTGATGCTTTTGAGGAGAAAAATATATTCCGTAGAGACCCTAACCTTACCCCTAGCCACCCCAGTCCAAATAGCCATGGTTCTCCAAATGCTGCACCTGGGATATGTGCTCTGAGATCTACAACCTGTGACCTAGAAGAAGTATGTAATATGGTACAAGCAAAAGTTTATCAGCTCCTTGTCCTGGGTAGACATGAATTTTATTGTGGGATTTAAGACTTCTGACAATTTTTACATTAATATACCCTGTGTTTGTGAAATGATGATAGTAGGCGATGAGATAGGCATAGAGCTAAATTATAAGTGCTCTTGCTTAGAAAAAGCTGGACACTTTTTGGTCTTCTTTTTCTAAGTATTTTGTTGGGAGGTCTGTTTAGGTTTATTTGTTTAAATATTTGTGGTCCAGTGATTCTAAAAGTCTAGAACTAACTACTCCATGTTGGCTCTAAATTCATTTTACTTGAAACGGTAATAAGCCTTTGTGGAATTACCCCGTGGATGACTTGTACCAGAGTACCAGCAGCCTGTACCAGCAGCAAAGTACCAGCAGCCTGGATATGTGTGAGCCCTCTGGCTTACTCCTGCCTATGCCTGCTCTCATAAAACAGTTGATAGTTATTAAGAAAATCTGTGCCTGAAAGGAATAAGCCCATCTTTCTCTTTTGGTCCAGCACAACTTTCCAAAATCTTACTAGAACTGTTTTTCTGAGAAGAGGCATAAAAAAAATGAGCCTTCAAGCTTAAAATTGTAATTAGAGAATTCACTTTTTATCTGAAGAAATGTTCATCATTATTCCAGGAGTTCTTGGGGCCACATCTGGTTTCAGCCACATTCGTCTCTTTTCTAACGTTGCTGATATTAATGCCAGTTTTAATATCTTGGCACCATAAATGCATAAATGTATCATCCACAGATGTGTTTTTAGGACTGAAACTGTAAATTTGCAAGCAAGAGATTCACAGGATTTTATCATATCATCTCAAAAAGTGTCACAGTTGTGCTAAAATGGTTTTAAATTGCTCATTTCAAACCTGCCTCGGTAGCAAAGTGCCATGCGTGCAGCAGCTTTGCAACCACGTTAGTCATTTTCTCTGCTCCGTTTCCTGGCTGTGTTTGTATTGGGAGCACAGAGTAATGTAATTTAGTAAATTATGATTTGATGGCTGGGCATCAGCCCCAGTGTTGAACAGTATTTGGACTATGATTACTTGCTGGCTTTGTCACAGTTGACATTAATTATTGATGGAAGTTTCAGAAATAGCGCATGTGCCAAGAGCTTTTCACCGTAACGCAGGCTCCAGGCAGGAGGGATGCTAAAGAGTGTGGGGGCAGAGGCACCTGTGGCTTGTTTATGTCTGTGCACAGGGAACCTGGACGCGGTGGGCTGTGTGGTACCCGCGTGAAGGGAATGGTGTAGCGGAAGGATGAACCGTCAGGCTTATTTCTATCGTGTTCCTCCCCAGGAATTGCACCGAAGAAGCCAACTCCAGCCGGAGCCAGCCAAGACGAAGGCTCTCCAGACTGTCATTGAGATGAAGGTAGGAGCTGTACACATTTGTCCAAACAGCTGTGTCCTCGAGTTTGCTCTAACTTGAGGGTGCCTAGCATAAACATGTGAAAGGAAGCTTGTTTTTCCTCTGGGTTCCCTGGTGGGTGCTTTGTGCTGGGTCTTTTTGCCTTCCTGGGTGCGATTTATTGGCCCTTTAATTAGGCTCCCTTTCCTGGGCAGTTAGAAAACAGGGCTCAAGTAGTTGGACTCGGAAAAGAGCTGGGTTCATTTCCAGAGCAGGGCCAGTACCTTTAACCCTCTGGGAGGTTTTTGTGTGTGCTTGAAAAGTAGATTTCTAAAGCTGGAATATTTTGTTTTTTGTTTTCTATTTACATGATATTGAAAAGACAGCTAGAATTTGACAAAGGGACATTATTTTATATGCAGGGAAGTTGTTAAAGAATTAAAAGTATGTTATTAGCAAAATCTACTTTTTAAAGAGTAATACTTTGTGTTGTCTTCCTGTGTTTGCTTGTAATCAAGTCTGGAAGGAATAATCATTTATTTACAGCAGCTCACGAACTATCCTATTTAGTTGTGGAGGTATACAGACACACTATTTAAAGGAATACAAAAGTCCTTCTGGGTGGGCTTAGGGCATTTAAAGAGGATGGCCAAGACATGACCTCTGATTGAAAAAAAAAATGGATCTAAATGAAATTCAATTGTTTTGGCAGTATCTGGAAGTATTATTATTTCTAGTTTTTGCCTGAAGGAAGTAAATCATAAAGTATGTCTTAGGGATAAATAATTCTAGGTTTGAATTGTTTCAGTGAGGAAAAAAAAAATCATAATGAAGATGTTTGCGGTCTGCAGATTTCACACTTGAGCCGAACACTGGGAGAGTTTTCTGGTCACCATCAGCCTACAAAAGGATTCTGAGGCTTGCTGATAGGATAATGATTTTTCTGTTTTTCTCGCTGCACAGGATTTTGAATTGTCTGCCAAAATAGTCCCAACTCCTAGGGAAAAAGAAACTAATATGAGCTATTGAGTTTTTTGGCATACACAATTCTGGCTCGGAATTCTTTCTCTCTTTTTTTTTTTTTTTCCTTAGTCAATGACAGTGTCCTCATCCAAGTGGATTTTTGTGGAAGTAATGCAGAACATCGGCTTTAAAATGATATGTCCCTTCTTGCTGCCCTCCCCCGCCGCCAACAAGATTGCAGGAGTCAAGCTACTGATAATGTATTTGCAGTACATTGGTTTGAAAAATACTGCAGAAAGGAAAAAAATGCCTATCAGTTGTTTGGAAACTGTGTAACCTGAACTTATTTTGAAAAGAAACGTAACATTCTACACATGGGCAGTAATGATTCATAATTAAGCTTTTATTCTCATTTCACATTTTAAGCTTCACATGAAAGCTTTCAAAAAGAGAAAAAGAACAGAAGACCAAAATACTTGCGTTAGTATCATTATTATGATTGCTACTATTATTATTATTTTGCAAAAAGTGGTTCAGTCCCCCTTCGGTCCTCTTTCATGCCCACCTTGCTAGCCCTCTGTCAACACAAACAGAAATGGAGAGAATACACACACACATACACTCCATTTCCAAGTGATTAGAAAAAGAAAAAAGAGTGACTGTGTTTTGAAAATGTTTGGGGAAGCTAGAAGAGACATGTTTCTTAGTATGGTGGCTTTTGTCTTGATAAACATATTTATTCCAAGACAATTGGTGCTTTTTGGTGACTTGTTAAAGTATATATATATATATATATGTATATTTTTTTCTACTGGTTTACTGTTGTTGCCATTGTGTTTTATAAAATAAATGAAAAACAAAACACTCAGGTTAAGAATGTGGGAAAGCATAAAACATGATTTTGAAGAGCTAATTCATCTATGTAAATGAAAGTATTTAAAGTTTGTGGAAAATGGAATTAAAAGGTAAATTTTAGAACAGAATGTTTTTGGAATCCATGCACAATATGGGTATTCAAAAAGTTCATGGGAAATCTGTGTTGTGGATTTTAAAAAGCCTTTGGGTATCAAAATAATCATCTTTTAATTTCCCCTTTATGTGAGCTTTTAGAAGCCTTGTCCTACTGTCAGTAAAGTAAGCCTGGAGCTTTTCTTTTACTAGTGCGAAAATATCATTGGAGGCCGACCTGCAGATGTCAGAACATATTTGAAGAGCACATTAAATCAATATATTTGTTTAGGGAACTGAGCCTGAATTTTTTTGTTATTGTTTTAGGAGATGTCTGTTCATTGGTGAAATCACTGCCTTCTGTTTTGTCAGTGGGGAAGTCTGAGTTCCCTTAGCTTCTGTGCTCAGCACACCTAAATTAAGTTACAGAGGCAGCTGGTCGAGGTTCACGTACTCAGCCCTGGGTGTTGCTTGTGGCAGAGATTGTGATCTCATCCAGTTCTGTTCATGCATTATATGCCTGTGAAACTGGAGGGCACATTGGAAACTCCCATTGTACAAGCTTCAGAGCTGACTACCAAATGAAAATGACCCTTCACCTGGCAGGTGAAACTTGAGGCCATGTCTCAGCTTTGGGTACACAATAGTGTCATCCAGGGCCCTGGCAAGATCTGGAGTTAAGCAAACTTCATTAGAATAAATTGGCCCTAAAGTTTCAGGAACTGACATGAAGTCAGACTTGGAAGTGACCCTTGCTGGTCTCCCCTTCCTTAGAGAAACCTAGGTTGGATTTCTGCACTACCCTCCTCCTCCCTGCCCATACACACGTTGCATTCACTTGAGAGGTGAAAAGTATAGACTGGGAGTTCTACATTTCTATGTATGCCCAGACTTCTTGGGACAATACTGTCCCAGTGGGATGAGGGTTGGGAAAAGTCCAGGTGCGTGGCAGCTCTTCTGAAAATATCACCCACAAGGCCGGCCAGTTGAGCCAGGGGATGAAGAAGTCGCCTGGATAACCACAAAAGGAAGCCAAGTGTATCAAGTCATTTGTGCTTTATCTTCTTGCAGGAAGCTTCAGGTTTTAATTTTGGTCCTGATTTGGTCTGGCAGGTATGTTCCAAGTTTGCGTTCAGAACATGGCGTGGTTTCTTGAAAAAATGAGCTTCTTGTAGATAGCACGAAACTTCCTCCTTTCTGCTTTCACATCTGAAAATTCTAAGCTGTTTTCTGCTCTGAGAACTGTCAATAGAATGGCATGCAAGAGATCTGACTTCTCTTTGTTTCTTAACTTTATTATAAATTTGTTGTGACATAATGTCCAAAAATTTCACTTTCTTGGATTCATTCATAAATGCTACCCATTTTTTTTTATCAGGAAAATGGATTATAGCAATACAGTAATTGTCAGACAGTCAGAACCATTTTTCTTTGTTAGTTATGATGTCCCAGTTCTAGAATCTAATCCAAAGTGGCCAAAGCCAAGAGGAAATTTATTGGCTCACTTAACTGGAAAAAGAAGAAGGGGTTTTACTTCAGTCACAGCTTGATCCAGGGGCTCAGGAAATATTAGCAGATCCCATTTTCTCTCCTTCTATCACTTATCTTGGCTTCCTTTGCTTGAGCTCCATTTCAAGACAGATTGTTTTTTGCCTGTCTGAAAAAGATGGCTATGGTAGTTCCAATGATCATAGAAGAAAGGGCTATGCTGTTCTTTTTTTTGAAAAAAAAAAATATAAAATCCCAATCAATTCTAGAGCCATGATATATTTATTGAGAAAGAGCAGAGAACTTCAGTCCAAATGTTACAGCCCAGGTTGCCAAGACAGCGTGCTGAACTCCCCAGTTCTTATGTGCTCCATGTGTTACATGATACCCATTCTTGGAGAAAAGCAACTATCTGTGAATACAGCAAAAGCGGTCAGATTTTTGGGAAAATTGATCAGGTAGGGTAACTGTGGGGGAGCTAATGTTTCTGTGAACAATGCAAAAAATAAACTTCTGTGATGAGCTGAAGTGAATGAAGCAGCCAGGGGCATAATGTTCTGTTGCACATTGAAGTAAGGATTGTGCTAGCTTCAGCAGCACGTATGCTAAAAGCATATGCTAAAATACAGTACAGAGAAGATTAGCATGGCCCCTGTACATGGATGGCAAATTGAAATGAGGATTGTCGATATTTAACTTTCTAATCACATGACTTGCCATGTTACTTTTATGCTATGAATGGTTTGTCTCTTTTTCTTTTTTTTTAAGATTGATTTGTTTGTTTGAAAGTCAGAGAGAGGGACAGAGACAGAGGCCTTCTATCTACTGGTACACTTCCCTAATTACTGTGATGCCTGGGACTGGGCCTGGCTAAAATCAGGAACCTGGAGCTTCTGCCAGGTTTCCCACAATTTGTTCCATCTTTTGCTACTTTCCCAGATGTATTAGCAGAGAGCTGTGTTAGAAATGGAGCAGCCAGGGTATAAACCAGCACTTATATGGAATTTCTGGACAGTGGCCTAGTATACTATGCCACAGTGCTGGCCTTGAGTTTTTTTCATTGGAATTCATTTATAAGGAATGCATACTGGTCTTGGTTAAGTTGCTGAAGCCTGGTCATATGCAAGAATATGGCTTTGCATTCAGGTGAAACTTCAATGGGGAGGTTGATTTTTGTTATTAAAGTTAAAGGCTACACCTTATTTTGTGCGTAGGCCGATGCCTACTCTTTTGTATGGAGTTGCCCTGCAGTTGCTTTGTTTACCATAAGAAGTATCTTGATGTTTGGTCACATTCACCCCATTGCATTTCACTAGATATACAAGGAATGCACTAGAACTTTGTGAAGTCAAGTTGCTGCCTGGGGCTAGCACTGTGATGTAGTGGGGATGGTGCTGGCATCTCATTTGGGCACCCATTCAAGTCCTGGTTGCTCCATTTCTGATCCAGCTTCCCACTTTGGCACCTGTGAAGACAGCAGAGGATGACCCAAGTGCTTGGGACCCTGAACCCTAGGGGAGACCTACCAAGAAACTTCTTGTTTCTGGTTTTGCGCTGGCTCAGTGCCAACCGTTGCACCCACTTGATGAATTAATCAGTAGATGGGAAATCTATGTCTGTCTGTCTCTCACTCTCTGCCTTTCAAATAAAATAAATCCATCTTAAAAAAAAAAAAACACAAGACAGCAACAACAACAAAACGGGTTACTATGTGGCAACTTCTCCAAGGTCACATAGCTAGGAAAGGCGGGAATTCAGATCCAAATTGTGGGTATTGAACACAGCCCAGGATTCCTCATGAATTTACTGGAAGTCCTCTCAACTATGTAAACAAAATTAAAAAGAAAATAAAAAATGTTTTAAGGAGTCTTACCCTGAATGTTTTGTTGTTGTTGTTAACAGTGTGGAGTAATAACTTATTTGAATTTGCAAAGTCTTAGATTTTTCATGTTCAGTATCTATTTATGAGACCAAAGTTATCCTTTAGCTTACTGTTTTCTTGGAAAATTTGTTAATCTTCCCATCTTTCAACTTGAAAAACATTTTTTTAACTTTTTTTTTTTGTTTTCCTCAAATGGGGAGTGGTAGTGAGGCAGTTGATTTTAAGTGATGCCCAGAAAATGCAAAATGTTGAGTTACATGTTATTTCTAGAATATATAGGTTTGTCATTTAGAAGCGAGTAAGATGTTTTTTTAAAAATGAAATTTATGCACTTGATCTTAGTCAAAAGGCTGGGAAATGATTAAAAAAAAAAAGAAAGAAAGAAAAGAAAAGAAAGAGATTTCTTGTAACATTTTTGCCCAAATTCTTGTTACAAAATGTTTAACTCTAAATGTCAGTTAGTTGCTAATTGATTCTTCCTGCTCTTAACTGGGTTAGTTTGTATGAATATGACTTCTGTGATCACAAACACCATTGTTTTCTTAGCAGCTATTTTGTTATTTTTTTTTTTTTTGCGAAGCACTGTGGTATGCCTTTTAGAATAATGAGGTTCTCTGCTGCAAGGAGCTGCTAGAAGGGAGTGTGCAAGACAGGTTGAAACAGTGATGTAAAAATGGCTGCAGAGTCCCTGGCTACAAGGACTCAAAGGATAGCAGATAAGAGAAAGGCAAGGAAGTTGGAAGAGAGGTAGCATTTAAAAAGGAACTTGAAAGCCTTGTATGATTTTGGTTAGAGGAAATGTGGTTTACAAACAGTGGGTACTTGAGCAGCCAAACAAGGAAGCTGGACAATATAAAGAGGGCCTGGGAAGGAACAACTGGTTCCATTTAGTTACAAAGAGATGTCTGTAAGTTTAAAAGGAAAAAAAAAATCAAATTAAACCTTCAGAAAGTACGAGGAAAGAAAGAGTAAGAATGAAAGCTTAAAGTAATGAAATAAAAAAAAAACAAACATATACCAGATAGTAACACCGAGGTTAAATGCTGACTTTCAGAAGATATTAATAAACATGAAAATCTTAGAATCATGAAGAAAAATAGACAGCACAAATAACGAATATTGGGAATGAAAGGACTGCATCTCTGTAAGTCTTATTAACATTACCAGTGTGAGAGAGAGGCAAGCCTCCATCTGGTTGAGTCTCTATTTGGGATGTCTGTATTTGGTATTGGAATGCTGGTTTGAGGCCTGCTAGTTCATTTTCAATCCAGGTTCCTGCTAATACTCTTGGAAGGCAAGAATAACGGTCCCTGTCACCTGTGTGGGAGACCTAAAGGAGTTCTGAGTGTTTGGCTTCAGTCTGGCCCAGCTCTCCCTGGCTGTTTGTAGATAGTTAAAAAGAGTGAACCAGTGGATGGCAAAATCAGTCTGTCAGTTCTCTGCCTTTCTCCTTCTCTTCTCCTCTTGTCCTCTTTCTTCCCCATTTTCCTCCTTCTCTGTTACTCTGCCTTTCAAAGAAATAATAAATTTATCATCTTTTAAATGAGAGGGTTTTTATCAACATTTTTATGATACAGTTGAAATTTCTGACAGCTTGATAAATTCTTTTAAAAGTACAGTTTGCCAAAATTGTATGAAAATAAATAGAATTTCTGACTCATATTTTATGTTTTAAAATGGGTTATATAACTGAAAATTTTACCACTTAACCCAAATCTCTAAAACTTAGACCTATCAAAAAACGCCGGCAAATTCGGATGGGTTCTTCAGTGAATCCTAGCAAATACTGGAGGAAGAAATTAAATGACTTGTATAGAAACTCTATCAGAATCAATTAAAGAGGGGGCTCATCCCATGTTACTTTGTTAAGACAGTAAATCCATGATATTAATACCTAGCAGAGATATAAGAAGAAGAGAGTACTTCAAGAAGTTTTTTGGTAGACACTGATGTAAAATAGCCTAGCTGAATCCATGAACAAATAAATGATATAACCAAGTTGTGCTTATCCTAGGAATGTGAAGTTGAGTTAATATTTGGATAGCAATCAATTTAGTTGACCAATAGGCTAAAGCGTTACTTTAACTTGAATATATGTAGAGAAAGCTATTTAATAACTGAAGTATTAATGTGACATAAATATATGTAGAAAAGCTATTTGATACATGCTACATCTATGCATTTCTGTCTACCAGTGGCTCCCTGCTCCAGTAAAACAAAGTTTTAATAAACTCAAATTAGAAATGAAAGTTTTCTTAATCTAATATGAGATGACCATGAGAACTCTCCAGCAAATATCATAATCAGTGGTAAGTGGTAAATGCTTTTCAGTATGATGCTAGAAATAAGACAAAATGCCCTTTACCACCACTTATATTTAACAGTTTTTAAGAACATCATAGGTATAAGAACTAAAAAGGAAGAAATTAAACCATTCTTATGTACCATAATTATGTGTTTAGGAAATCTCAGTGAATTTATACATAAGTCATCAGATGCGTATGTGAATTCAGCCAGATGGCTGGTCAGAATTTAAGAATGTGCCTGTGGAAGTTGGCATTCAGTCTAGCAATTAGATGCTACTTAAATTGCCCAGTTTACATGTTGGAGTACCTGGATTTGATACTCAGTGCAACTCCGGATTCTAGCTTCCTGTCAGTGCACACCCAGGATGGCAATGAGGAAAGTTCAAGTAATTGGGATCTTGTCACTCATGTAAGAGACTGGACTGTATTCTGGGTCTGTGTTTCTGTACAGTCCAGTCCTAGTGGTTGCATGCATTTAGAGAATGAGTCAACATATGGAAGCACTCTCTCTTGCTCCCTCTCTAACTCTCAAATAAATGAATAACTTTTAAAAAGTTAACTCTTATTAAAGAGGGAATCCATCCTGTATGTCAGTTATAAACAATGATAAAACTGAAATTTAGAAAACACATCACATAATAATGATACGAAAAACCCAAATATATAGTAGTAACTCTTCCATTTACATTATACCCAGTTAAAGTACAAAGGTACAAAGTATTCACTCAATATACAATAAGTAAAAGCAAAGCAAATACCCGTCATAAAGAAGACAAATAGTGGAATATTCATGTAATAAGTTGTTCTATGGTAATGAAAAAGACAAAGTCATTGCTATTTATAACAGCATGGTTGAATGTCACTTCCAAAATAACCTCGGAACAAGACAGCCTCATAGGTGTCTGATCCTGTTTATTTGTTATCTCCAAAACAGGTAGAAATAGCTACCTGACATAACTCTCCAGACCGTGGTTAATTACAGGAGGAAGGAGTGTAGCAGTGAGAAGAGCAGGAAGGGAACAACTGGAATGCAGGTCACAGCTTTATTTTGTGATCTTGTTAGCAAGTGCCTAAGTGTGTGCACTTTATCATGAATCATCCTGCTGATGAAAACCTATGATTTGGGTTTCATTATGTTGTACTTTCATTAAAATGTTTGCTTAAAGATAAAGTTAGGTAGACTCGAAAGAAAAAAAAAATCACCCAGTTAAAAATTCAGTAGGGGCTATTCTTGTGGTGTAATGTGATAAACTGCCACCTGTTTGGTCTGCTTCTGATACAGCTCTTGCTAATATGTCTGGGAAGGTAGTAGAAGATGACTCAAATATTTGAGTTCTGCTCCTCATTTGAGAGATCACAGTGGGGTTCCTGGCTTCTGACGTTCGTCTCCCTCAGTTTTGGGTGTTGTAACCATTTGGAAAGTGAGCTGGCATGTGAAATCAGTCTCTCTCTCTCTGCCTTTCAAACAAATAAACATTTTTTTTTTTTTAGTATGATGGGCAAAGGAT